AACATGCAAACTCCACACAGAAAGACCCCGGCCTGATGGTGGAATTGAACTCAGGACCTTCTTGCTGTGCGGCAACAGTGCTAACCACCGTGCTGCCCTAAATAAATAATAATAAATACAATTTTATTTATATAGCACTTTTCTACACAGAATCACAAAGTGCTGCACATAAGATAACAAATAACTATTTATATTTATGTTATTCACAGGGTGAGCTTGTTTTTCTTTTGTTTTTACCAACCGACAGACAGAGTTAGTGTCAGTAGCTGAGCTGAGCCAAAGAGCTACGCTAACATAACGACATAAGCTGATAAGAGTTCATCACACTGATGCTTGTGATGCGGGTAGAGAGGAACTGCAGCAGCTGCTATATTTGAGTCTGTTGACTGCACAGTGATTTCTCACTTCAGCTTCTTTATTACGTTTTAGCTTTTGCTTATTTCAGACGTCCCTGCAGACGTGGCTGAAACAGTCAAAAGTAGCAACGATAAGATAAAAAAATCGGCACTATAAACATTAAAGTGGGGTCCACGCACAACACTGAGCGTTTGTCCTTGGTGAGAGTGTTATAACATTTCTAACCTTCATGATGTTCATTGTTTTGTTTGCTTTCTTTCTTATAATTAATAAAACCATTGAAATTTGAAAATAAATAAAATACCCAGGCTGAGAAAAGGTGGTCCGATGCTCATTCATTCTATGATGAGACGTAATAAACATGAAAGAATCACAAGTCTGGAAAATAATGACTCAAATGCTGCATTTTATGATTTGGGGAACCGCTCCTTTCAGATTTTGTATTATAATTTGCACTAAAGATCGAGCTGTAGGCGGTGTTGCTACATGGAAGCTGAAAACACCCAAAACTTGTTACATCTCGTTCTGTGAATATGAATGAGACTGATCAGTGAGCATTAGCGTATATTCTAATAATCCTTGATTATCTTGAAAGTCCCGTAAGCTAGAGTGACTTTCTAAAGGCTCTTATTCTCCAAACTCAAAGCGGCAGAGAAACAAACCGCACTGATGCGTTTCATCAGTTCATCTTTCATCCTGCGCTGCGTGACTCCAGCGTACAGCTACAGCAGCACAGCAGCAGCCAGCCGTCCACAGCGTCACAGCACAATCAGTGTCAGTGAGGCGTGTTGCGGCCAGGTCAGGTGTGCACTCACCAGCAGCGTGGGCAGGCCGGCCACCGCGGCGTACAGCAGCACGGGTGGGACGGCGCTGCTGTCCTCCGGCCCCAGGTACGGTTTGGTGTACGTGGTGTCGTAGCAGAAGAAGCCCTGCACGTGCACGGTGAAGGTGTCGGTGTATTCGAAGTAGTAGGCCAACATGACGGTCCCGGCCATGATCACCAGCTGGAAATACAGCATGATGCACACGGAGAGCGTGAGACATTTAATCAGAACACGGTCTATTCAGCCCCCTCCTCCTCCGCAGCGGCGTCCACTTCCGCTGAGCGGCTCATGACGGCTCGGCTGTGCGCCAGAAGCCTCCGTGACTGCGTTCAGCGCGTCCTCCACCCTCCGCTGCTGCCGCCGCACACTGACTGCGAGACTGGAGGGGAGGTGTGGGGGCGAGCGACGCGTGTGAGGGTGTGTCTGCGCGTAAGAGCGGAGAAGGCTTGGCTAAAAGCTTGACGTGATCCACGTGTGTGTGTGTGTGTGTGTGTGTGTGTGTAAAGCACATGTGTGCGTAAACCCGGACGTGTGTTTAGCAGAGAAAGGATCAGCTGGAGAGAACGGAGAGACGGAATTATGCGCAGGGAGGGGCCATGGACGTCATGAGACTGCTCAGGGAAATGAGGAGATAAATAGAAGTGAATGAGAAGAAGGTGCATGATGCAGAGTCTCCATCTGGAGGGATGCAGATGTTCTCTGTGGCACATATGGCGGCTCACTTCCTGTCGGCGCTGCTGAAAGAAAGATTCAGAACTTTAGTGAAAGAGTGCAAATCACAGCTTTATGAGTCACAGGAGGCGCATCTTCACAGGAGTCTGCTGCAGCAACATGCAACAGCACCGGCGTATCACTGTTTGTATCTGTTTAGAATTATGAATAAAAAATGACATATAACACATGAAAGCTTTTTTTTTTTTTACAAAACTTTTCAGCTAAACTTTAAAATTCAACAAAAGGAGAAATTTAAAAATCAAGTAAAAACAAGCATTTCACTAAGTCTTCATGGAGAAAACGGAGACTCATGAGCAACACCGTTCAGTAATGGGGGAGTCATGTAATTGTTATGATTATGTAGTGGCTTTAAAAAAATAACTGTAATCAGCCAAGATTGTTATTTTTCTCAGACGCTCCTGAACAAAGAGCTCATCTGCACTTTGAACAAACTGAACATCTGTCGTCTTTAAAAAGCTGATGCAGAGCAGGAGACAAACAAACACTCATGGATCATATAAGACTCACCATCGAGTGTTATATGTGATTTATAAAGTGTTAAAGCACTCTTGTCTGTGTGTGCTTTTGTTAATAGTAACTTTATTCTTTATTGTTAATCAAGCATATAATCAAATGTAATTTGAGTAGTAAAAATGTTTGAGGTGTGGACATGATCACTGACCTTTATATTCATCAGATCAGAACTGTGTAACCAACCTGTCAGTAGTTTGAAATGTTGTAATGTTAAACACGATTCACATGTGATTTTGCTGATCGTTAACTATACTTAGTGCCAATCAGAACATACTCAGGTAGATATAATTGTGTTTAAGTTGAGTGTGACAAAGTAGGTGAGAAGACCATTTGTCCATATTCTTAGTTAACATTCTTGTTTTGATTGAACCATATTTCATATATAGTCTGCAATAGGCAAACATCTACTGTTTATGTTTTGCACTTTTACAGATTATATAACATCTTAGTTTAAATCAATTCCTACAAGTTTGTTAAGTTAACATGTTCTTTATTTCAACTGTTAATTTGTATTGTTTAAACTTACCTTACCGACCTGTCTTCCAGAAACAAAAGGAGGAAATGTAGTTTTACTTCCTGCTTTATAGCTTCTGGGTTCATCTGAGGTCACAGGAAGAGACCAAGTGCAGACGGGGAAGAACTCTTATAATTTAATAAAGTTGATTTTAGAGGATTTATGAAGAAATAGATTTATTGTTGTAATATGTATTGATTACACCGTAATTTAATTTAATTTACGACCTTAATTTCCGTTGATTTAAGTTCAGTTATGATTATTTGAACTGAGTTAATTATAGAGTTGAGTTTCTCACAAAATGGTGAATAAATCACTGGCTACACTGGACAGCATCAGTCTCCTGCACTTCTTTGACCGCTTAAGTCGAGTCCTACCACATTGAGCAATGCAAACATGTAATAATGATTCTAAAGACAGGCCTAACTGAAACAGCCTTGAGAGTTACGATGATGTGAGGCGATGTGAGAATTTGCTAAAGACAAATCCAACTGAAGTAAAATAGCATAAAATTAAAAGCTGAACTTAAATACCTTAAATTAGCTGAACGTTGGGTGATGGAGAGGATAATGTGCTGTGGGTAGATATCAGTGTCTTTATGTAAGATCAGAGCATGAACTGGACATTTCTGGAGACGTTCTGTGTCGTTCGCTTCGTCTTCTGGGAACGAGCAGTTCACAAGATCTCGACGTCCACCATTGGAAACTCCAGCAGAGACATGAAGAAGGATCAAACTCAAGTTTTGGAGTTTTGGCTTTTTCTGCTCATTTTGCTGGGTTGAATGATTCATTGAGAAGGACCAAAGTACTAAATTGTGCTCTACAAGGGCCTGATATCCACTTACGAGGACGTTATCCTGCCACTGCTCTATCAACATTTACAGCAAATGTCCTCATATGTGGATCTCATTTTTCTCAGAAACAAAAATCAGGTAATGTTTTGTTTTTACATTCATCAGGTCCCAGTCAGCCCAAAGATTGAAGAGAAATTAGAAAAGCTGCCATGAAAGAGTTCAGGTCTCAGGAGGACAAAACAAAGAGACAAGAGTAAGGGAACAGGAACAACACCAAAGGGAACTAATGAGATCCTCTATAACTAGACACAAATCCTAAAACAGGAAATTATACAGTGTTTAGAAAAGGAAACAAAACTTAATGAGACACTAAACTGCATCATTTTCAATAAAAAAACTGGAATAAATGGGGCGTGCTAAAACGTTTGACAGTGTAAATAAAATCACACTGTAGCCATGCAGTCTGTCCTCTGCTGTCTGTCTGTAGTTTGAGTGTTATGTCTCTTAATGTGCATATTTATTGTATTGATTGTCAATGTTTTTCTTCTGCATGTGTTTTTGTATGTGTGGCGTCATAATAATGTAATAATAATAATAATATGCAGGTTTTTACCTTTATTGTTTCACAAACGCTTAAAAAGGGAATGTCCACAGTTTAAAACAATTTATCAGGAGCAAAAGCCAAACTTATCTCTGTGTTCCACGCTGATATAATCCAACAGGAACGCAGCAACACAATACCTTGGGAATACAATCCTTCACAAATATAATGGGAATCACAATGGAAAGAACCTGATTCAATGGTTTATAAGGACGTGAATCACCGGCAGGATCTGTGGAGTGTTTTGATGATGAGACACGACTCCAGGTGTGTCCAGCTGTTATATCCCGTGGCTACTTTGATGAGTGAAACGTCTGAATACATTTTGGTCTATAAATTGATTCCTTGACTTCTTTTTAAACTCCAATTGCTAATCTGCACTATGCTAATCTAGTGCAAAGATTATGTTCAGTCAGGAATCCATCAGCATCCTTGAGCTGTAATGCAGGCTTTCTCATGTCCTGTCCTTCGCCTACACCTTGCCTTATCTCAGACTCTGTATCTGCCTTAGCTTCAGTATCTGCCTTATCTCAGACTCTGCACTCTCCTGCCCTGAAGTGGCCCCTGAGCTGTACTGCAGGCTCAGTCTCTGCTTTCCTTCATGCCTTTGCTCTCCGGAGCCCTCCCTAAGTCTTCTAACTCATCATGATGCCTGTTTATTCATGTCTGACCGTGCGCCTCTGCGACGCTAACATCTGTTCTTTAACAGGAAGGAACTTCCTGCAACAGCAAGATTGCTTTTTTTCTTCTGCTGTAATTTCTATCACTGCTTGGATTCTGCTGTGAGGGGCCATCACATCAGTTGAATTTTGTATATCAACAAATCCTCACTTTCTTCACTCATCTGTCTGCTTTCCCACGTGTTTGGCTGTCAGACTGTTCTTTTGCATCACTTCCACTTTCCAATGCTGTGAAATTCAATGATGACATCATTGTCCACCTTCCTTTCAACACTTCACACCAGAGAGAGCAGCTAAACAAGACCACGCAGTGAAAGGCCGATACGTTCGATTGTTGCTGTTTTACACCCAGTTATGAGGAGTGATGACATCCTTTGTGGAGTTCAGGAAGCAGAAGAGATGTGGGCATAGTCCTTTCTGGCTCTATACTTTTTATTTGATGCTTTAATGGTCAGTATACTTTCCTAGTAAGCATAAGTATATAAATGTTAAGTATACTTCCAACATTTATAAGTACAGTGGTCCCTGTTTATTGCGGGGGTTACGTTCTAAAAACAGGTGAAATCAACGAAGTAGCCAACTTTATTTTTTACAATTATTATAGATGTTTTACGGCTGTGAAACCCCTCACTACACACTTTATACACTTTTCTCAGACAGGCATGGACATTTTCACACTTTTCTCTCTTGTTTAAACTCTCAAGTTCAAACCTTTGTAGAAAAATAAGTTCAGTATTATAGAAAGCAAAGATCAAACCCTGTTTTCAGGTCCAGAACATGGGAATAGAGCAGCTGCAGAGGATTCAGCATTAATAAATCAGTGGTACAGGAGTAGAGGAAGCAAGAAGAATGAGTTGAGTAAAGTTTGACTTATCTGACTGTTACACAAGATTAACTGACAACGGTCTACAGCCAATCAGGATGCAGAACACAATGCACTGTAAGAAAAAAAATCATGCAAAATTGCAAACAAAACAAATCCGCGAAACAGTGAGGCTGCGAAAAGTGAACGGCGTTATAGCGAGGGACCACTGTATATATAAATGTTAGCAGTATTCACTTTCTAACATTTATTCTGTACAGTTCAGACAGCAGATGTTTCACGTCTTACGCGCCTGTGTTTATTACTATCTGCCTTCTGCAGAAACTTAAAGCAGGAATTTAAAAATAATATTATATTATATTATGATTAATATAATTATAATTAGACTATAATTATATAATTTTAATTATTATTAGATTATAATTATAATAATTATAATAATTAAATAAGTCCATGACCAGTACAAGTAACTCTTCTTCCACAGCAAAAAATAAAATAAAATAAAAACAAATAGAAATGTCTGATCAAAGCTACTAAATCTGTTCAAAGTTAATCACAGGGTTCTGTTTTACTGAAAGGAGTCCCAACACACCGATAAAAGCAAACGAGTAAGCTCTACACAAATTCACAAAGACTATCAGTTGCCGACTTGCTGAGACGTGTGATCTGATCCTGTTGCCACCAGATGGCGACAGAACACTTCTGTAACACCAAAGATAACACCTGGCACAAAAGGAGCTCTGTAGCTACAACAGTATCAACAAAAGCTGCAGATCATGAAAGTGGTTACTTCCAATCTGAGTGAAATGCAAAGATCATCTTTGGATTGTGTTAGAAAGGTACAAAATCTCAGCACTGAATAGCCATAACATAACAACCAAGCCAGACATACTGATTCACAACTCTCCAGTAAGTTGACTCAGGTATCGTTGTAATATATATATAGATATATAGATATATAGATATATACACTGGTGAGATTGTGAACAACACACACTTAAACTAGTCAGAGTAGTCTCATTGTTTTAATAGGACAACACTTAAAACAAAGTTTTCTGATGCAACTGAAAGTATCCATCAATCCCATCTACTCGTACCTTCATGAAACACGTCTTACCTCCCCTGTCAGAGAGGTGATCCACTTCCTTCGCTCTTTTCTACTTGG